GCACCTGCGCCTCGCGCCCAGCCGCGCCGGGACTGGCGGGGCGGCCGCGCCCGCTGCCGGGCTGCCCTCGCTCGCCTATAGATACTATACATACCGGAGCGCAGCGATCTCAGATTGTTTCGAGGGGGGGAGGGGGTTGGTTTTCTTGTTTTGTTTCTGTTTTGTTTGTTTGTTTTTTAACAATTAACGACCAATACAAGAAGCCAGGCAGCTGTAGTATTACAAGGTTTGTGCCTTAGGGATGACACACGAATAAGCTGAAAACATGGTGGGTTTTATAAGGAGAAAGGCGAGGGGAGGGAAGAAATTCAAAAGCCCACGTGTCTACACAGGGTAAATAACAATAATAATAATAGTAATAAAGCACACGCAGCAATCCAGATGTGCCTTAAAAGCTGGCTGCAGGAGCTCGGGGGCTTTCTGTTCCCCCCAGCCTGGCAGGGCGCGAGGAAAAAGGATGATGGACGTGCGGGCTTGAGGGATAGGGCGTCTGGGGGTGCCGGCCGGGCCCTCCCCAGCTGGCCTGTGGTGCAGCAGGCGAGGGCAGCTGTGGGGAGGCCGGCAAGGAGAGGGCTGAGGCTGAGAGACACGCAGCGCTGGACGCCCCTTTGGAGCACTGAGGTGTGGGGCAGCTGCTGGACTGCTGCCAGGACTGTCCCAGCCTGGCTGGGCTGCCTCTGCCGAGCCCTGTCCCCCGCCTTGGCTGGGAGCAGGGCAGGGGCCACCACCGCTGCGGGACCGATGGACAGCCTGGGACTGACGGAGCAGCAGCTTGCGAGGGAGCGTGGTGAGCTCCCTCCATCAAAAGTAAGAGCGGCAGTGTCTTGTACTGTATGTCACGACGTGGCGAAGCACAAATGAATAAATACCTATCGATGCGGGTATTTACTACGAACTTTCAGTGTATTTTGCTTTATTCCAGGACATTTAGCTCCTCTTCACGTCTCTGTCTGTCCAAGCTGTGCCTCATGTAATGTGAAAGCCTTTCTGTGTATACTAGCTACACTTTATTTTTATTGCGTTTCTTAGATCTTTGCCATCACACAACTTTCGTATCTGGTGACAGAGACTATGCCCTTGTGCTGCAACGTTATTTTATTATTTGTATGGATGGGTGAGCGTGAGTGCGTGTTGCCTTCTTCACGTTGTCCTGGGCTGGCTGCTGCCTCCCAGCCCCAAGGCAGGGGTGCCTGGGAGGCAGCGCAGGCCGTGGGGCTGCAGGACGCCTGCAGTGGAGTGAGGAGGCTCGTCCCTGGTGCTGCAGCACCTTTGGACTCTGGAGCTTCTCCCAGGGTGAGGGAAAAATAAACAAACAAACAGGCCCCCTTCCAGGGAGCGCTGGTCATCACGCAGAGCATTTCTTCCTCATGTCGTAGCTGCACAAGAATTTGTCCAGTTGAAATGGTCATGATGGGAGAGGAGTACAAGGTGGAGACGTGAAGCTGTTTGAAAGCATGACAGCGCGAGCACAGTGCTGGGGTGGTGTGTATGCGTGTGCCGTGTGTGTGTATGGGTATGTATACGTGTATGTATATGCACACACATTGGTGGGATTTTTTTTTTTAATTCGGGGGGGGACTCCATATAAAGTTTGTCGGAAGTCCTGGTTACGTTCATAAATAAACAGCATATATTCTACCATAACCATTCGCCTCTCTGTGTGTTTCCAGTTCTTTTTCTGCAGCCGGAGTACGAAAGCCCCCCTCTTCCCCCGCACCACGCACCCCGCTCCCCGCCGGCACCCGCTGCCCCTGCCGGGACTGCTGACCAAAACGCCTTCGTGGAGCGCAGCTCCCTCGTTTTCGCCCCAGAGAAATAAATACACGGTTGCCTTTAAGAGAACGGCAATTTCCTAAATACTTGCGGTGTCAGACGTGTGCCTGTGAGTCACCCTTCGCTTAACCCTTCCACCCGCGCCGCGGCC